CCCCCCAGTCTCACTCCTAGCCCAGAGGCCAGCGCTGGAACCCATATGGTGCAGGTGTCCTACGGAATAAGGGGTTGGGCTGTTCTTGCTCTCGACGTTCAAGCGCAGACTCAGACAACAACTCGCTGCCGCTGAGTCCATGAGGACCCTCTGCAGGGCCAGAGGGCGGGTCTGTGAAACCGCTGCCAGGGATGGACTCACGTACTCGAAGAAGAGTGTAGGAAATGGACAACGCCTTGGGGCAGAGGAGGCAGAGCAGGGGAAGGACACCCACGTGTGGCCGGGCTGCAGTGAGGACGGGGTCCCTACCTATTGTAGTCTCGAGCAACCAGGAGCAGGTTTTCACGTAGGATGCGCAGGTCCTCGGCCCGTTCAGCCACGTTCACCACATAATGGGGTATCTCAAATAGCAGCCGCTCCCAGTAGTCGATCTCCACAAAGAGAATCAGCAGGGATCTTGGGAAACAAGAAGGTTGAAGCCGTTACAGAGACTGCTCAGGGGGATAAGCTAAAACCCCAAACGGGAAGAGGTGAGATGCTGGAAAGCAAGAAGAAACTGGAGATAGGACATGGAGACGCCCAGCGAAAGAAGGTAGACAAACCAGCTTGGTGGTGGTGTTTAAAACAAATGATAGGTTTTTAAAAAACAAATGATAGGTTTATGATTTTATTCTAATAGGACATTATTTTTAACAAAAGTACACATTTTAGGCCCTTTGGGATACTTGCCCTAGCAGGGCAGAAGTCAGGCCGAAGGATGGGGGGAGCCGTCCTCAGGGGACCTATAGGAGCCCTGCATGGCTGAGAGCTGCTGAGAATCACTGAAAGAGCTGTCCTGCACTGACGAGGCTGCCTGCATGCTTCCACATCCTGATCCTAAATTGTAGCCTGACGGTTCTGATGCTGAGCTGTAACCTGTTACTTCTCTGATAAACCTCATTGCTGTGACAACTGTCTGAGTTCCGTGTGGCCATCGCAACAAATTCAGGAGCCCAGCAAAGAAATAGAGAATGCTGTGGGAGGGTCAGGATTGGTTTTAAAAAAAAAAAGCGTTAGAGAAAGGAGGTATGTCTGAGCCTCCACTGCATAGGAACCCGCTTTGAGCTTAATAACTGATCTTACTTCTCCCTCGCACCTGGTGAAGTTAGATGAGGAGTTCTGATGATGCCACTCTGCCGTGTTCATATTCCGTCGACATCAAATGGCAACACAGACAGTGCAGGGGAAAGATATAAAATTTAAGCCTTTTACAAACTTACCTTTCTTTTACAAACTTGCCTTTCTTACCATTTCACGGTGAGGAAATAGCATGGGGGTCGAGGCTGGCCTCCTCTGCCTACACAACTCCACATCAGCCCACAGCCCATTGCCACAAGGCAGAGATCCGACAGGCCTCTAGCCTCCGGAACCAGCCCTCCCATGGCACTATGTTTCTTGGTTGGGTCTGTGTTACAACAACCACACAGAACACAGACAGTGCTCACAAGGACATGGGTTTAACAAGGAACCTAGCGGGTTACAAAAGGTTAAGGATAACATTCTTTTGTCTGGAATGCTTCTTTCAGCCATGCTGGCAGGCATGTCTCTCTCTCATTCTCTCTCTCTCTGACTCTCGGCCACATGGTCCTGGCCTTGATACTGCTCCTCTGCCCTGCCTCATTATCACAGAGCTGCAGCCTCTGGTGCCTTTGCTGCTCCCACCACTTCAGCCAGGGATCTCACTCACACGCCTCTGGGGACTCTTGTGTTGTGATGATCATGGGATCCTCTCTTCTTGTTTCTGAGATGACAACCTCTTAGATCCAACAGAATGGCAAAAACAGTCTCCAGGTTAAAGTCCTCTCCATCTTTTTTTTTAAATCATTTTATTGGGGGCTCGTACAACTCTTATCACAATCCAT